CCCAACTGGAAAAGCAAATGAAAAAAGAATCCAAAAATACGAAGATAGTGTAAGGAGCTCTGGGACAGCCTCAAGCATACCAACATCCGAATTATAGGGGTGCCAGAAGAAGAGAGAGAGCAAGGTATTGAAAACCTATTTGAAGAAATAATGACAGAAAACTTCCCCTACCTGGTGAAAGAAATAGACTTACAAGTCCAGGAAGCGCAGAGAACCCCAAACAAAAGGAATCCAAAGAGGACCACACCAAGACACATCATAATTAAAATACCAAGAGCAAAAGACAAAGAGAGAATCCTAAAAGCAGCAAGAGAAAGACAGTCAGTTACCTACAAGGGAGTACCCACACAACTGTCAACTGATTTCTCAACAGAAACTTTGCAGGCCAGAAGGGAGTGGTAAGAAATATTCAAAGTGATGAATAGCTAGAACCTACAACCAAGATTACTTTATCCAGCAAAGCTATCATTCAGAATTGAAGGTCAGATAAAGAGCTTCACAGATAAGGAAAAACTAAAGGAGTTCATCACCACCAAACCAGTATTATATGAAATGCTGAAAGGTATCCTTTAAGAAGAGGAAGAAGAAAAAGGTAAAGATACAAATTATGAACAACAAATACACATCTATCAACAAGTGAATCTAAAAATCAAGTGAATAAATAATCTGATGAACAGAATAGACTGGTGATTATAATGAATCAGGGGCATAGAAAGGGAGTGGACTGACTATTCTTGGGGGGGAAAGGGTTGTGGGGGATGTGGGAAGAGACTGGACAAAAATCGTGCACTTATGGATGAGGACAGTGGGGGAGGGGGTGAGGGCGGAGGGTGGGGTGGGGTGGGAACCGGTTGGAGGGGAGCTATGGGGGGAAAAAGAGGAACAACTGTAATAATCTGAACAATAAAGATTTAATTTTAAAAAAAAGAGTTTCGGATTAGCACTTACTTCGAAGAATAAGATTATGGACACTTACAGGTCATAGAACACCCTGACAGAAAGCAAGTCATTTGCTTGTGGACACATCTATAAGAGAGGCAGAACAGTGGACCACGTGTTTAAGTGACTTACCTGAGTGAGTCATGGCTACTTTGGAGTAAAACTAAAACTCTTAAAATCCCATCTCTTTTCTAACACTGCTCAGAACATGCTTCCACCTCTTTTTCTAACAGGAGCCTTCTCCCACCTCCTGAAGTCAAATGAGATTCAAATTTGTAGCTACTTTCACTTTTTTATTTATAGCACTGCAAATTTCTAAGACTATATTCCTGTGACTATATTTGTGATCTCCATCTCTTTCCCTAGATGATTGATTTATTAGATCTGTACAGTTAGGAATCACCTGTTTTGTTCACTGTTGTATTTTAACCAGCACAGGGCCTAACACTGTGCTCAGCAAATGTTCATGGTATGTGTGAATTACATCATATGGCATTCTCACCAGGCACTCATATTCTCTCTCTCTCTCTCTCTCTCTTTTAATTGTAGTAATATTGGTTTATAACATTATATAAGTATCAGGGGTACAACATTATAATTCAACATCTGTATATACTACAGCATGCTCACCACGAAAGGTTTAGTTTCCCTCTGTCACCATACAATTGATCCCATTTACTATTTCCCCCTCACCCCCTTTCCATCTGATAACCACCAATCTGCAGTTTGTGTCCATGAGTTTTGTTTCATTTGTTTGTTTTAATATTCCACACATGAATGAAATTATACAGTATTTGTCTTTCTCCATCTGACTTATTTCATTTGCATAATACCCTCAAGTTATATGGATGTGCGTGTGTGTTATATTTCACATGATTATAAGATAAGGCTTGAGATGTGACCTGGGGAAGGATGACCAGCTGAAAAGACAGACTACTCTCCTGCCAACATTAAAAAGAAAAAAGAAAGCCTGAAGGAAAAATCATAGAACCCACCAAATATTACCAGCTCCTGGCAAATTGGCAAGGATCAATCAATGAGCAAGAGTTCCAGGAAGGACAACATAGGAAAACATGCAACTGATATGAAGTGTGAGGAAGACCCTGGAAATATGGGAGCTATGCTGGCTGGGAAGCTTTCCAAGGAGGAAGCTAAGGGGAGCCTAGGAAGGTGGAGTATAAAGGTTGAGCCTGTCCTGAGAGACCACTTCGTTACCACTGATGACAATGTATTCTTTCTCTCCATTCATCCATATGTTCCTCCTGCTACAAGACCAGCCCACCCAACACTGTCTTGTCACAGAGGCACACATTGCCACTGGTTCCAGTCACAGGGCATAAGGACACTCTGGATTTTTGGTCTCAGTCTTTGCATGCTGTGATTGGCTTTATCCACATGGGAATACATGGGGAAGCCAAGTTTATCCAGAGCCTGGATCTGGGCACAGATGACATGAAAGATGAGACGGTGTCCTCGGTACTCAGGCACAGTGCCTGCCATCCGCAGCTCTCCTGTCTGGTCCATCAGGGTCCAGGACACAGGGGTCCCCTCGGGCCCCAGCAGACAGAAGGAGGGGAAGGTCTGGATACAGCGCTCAATGAATCTCTGGCTCCTCTCATTGCCGCCGAAATGCCAGAATTTATTCACCAGGCCAGCATGTGTGACATCCAGGGATGAGAGTTTAAACATCTCTTGGTTGCTATTGGGAACAAGGGAAAAGAACAGCCCAAATATCATACATATTGTGAAGTATTATATTTGTTTCCACACAGATAGTGTCAGGCAATTAGGCGTACATTTAAGGGTTTGTGCTTTGCAGCCACACTGCCTAGGTTCATCAACTGACTACTTGTGTGATTTGGGGCTGATTATTTAATCCCTCATTTCCTTTATTTTGTCATCTAATAACTAGGGATGATAATGACACCTCCCTCCTAGAATCATCGTGAGGCTTACATGAGCCCATGGATATCAACGAACCAGTACCTGTCAGAGAGTGAGCACCCCACAGAGATTAGCTGCAATTGTTTTATTTGGCCCTGGCCATCACCCTCCAAAACTAGGTAGGGTAGGTGTCCTTATTCTCATTTTACCTAGAAGTAAAATGTTTTCAAGAAATTAAACAAGTGCCCTGATGCACATGTTAATGAGCTGTAGGTAAAATAAGAGATGAGAATCATGGACTCTTAGAATGTTGGTGGGGAAGCTCAAGTCCAGAGAGGGGCAGTGATGTGGAGTGCAGGCAGCCCCTGAGGTACAGAACACTGAAGTCAGCCACTGAAGGCTTCTGCTATGGTATTAGGGGCTTCAGCAAGTGTCTTGGAAAGAACCCACAATGTAGAACTAGAAGATGGAGACTCAAGGCCCAGTTACGCTTGACCTTCCATGTGACCTGAATAAGTGATTTTTTTCATCTGAGCCTGGTTTCCGGCAGGAGATGAATAATATCTCCTATCTTGTCTATCTCATGGGATGGACAAGAAAATCAAATGAGTTGATAGATTTGGCGGTATCTTTCAGGTGGAATGTGCAATGCCATGTAAATAAAGCTTTTCTAAGCATATTAACATAGAGAGGGCCAAGGGTTTGGGTGTCTCCAAGATCAAATCTCTGCCATCACTTTTTAATTCTCTTCAGTGTTCAGTAAAGCACCAATGGGAAAAAATGTATAATTGGTCGAAGTTTTCTTTATTGGAAATCCTTTGTTCTGTGAAGCAAATTCGCTAAACACGTATTTGTTGAGCGCCTACTACATAGCAGGCACTGTTATAGCTATTAAGGCTCTATCATTAAACAAGACAGAGAAGGTGTCTGCAGTTACAATATTGTTGGGCAGAATTCAAACATCAAGTAAGTATATAAGTTAACTAAGTTAGCTAATTACAAATAATCATCAGTGCTATGAAAAATAAAAAACTGAGTCATGTGTGGAAAATAACTGGGAAGTGACTTCAGGTGGATGGTGTAACCAGGACTCTATGGTAAGGTGACATTTGAGAAGTCCCGAATAACAAAAGAAGTCATGAGAGTAAAAAAAGGGTGGGGTGGAGGGAAAGACACTTTAGGGCCTAAAGTTTAGGCAGAGGGAAAACCTGATTGAAAGGGCCTGATTTTGCAATGATCAACAGCGGGAGGAAGACCAGTGTTGCTGGGGGAGTAAGCAAGGGAGATGAGGTCTAAAAGGTAAATGGATGCTGGCTCTTGTAGGATCATGAAGGAGTTCAGAATTATTTCAAGGTGAGACAGGAATACTAGAGTCTTTTAAGAGGAGAGAGACATGTTCTAATTTTTGTTTTTTAAAAGATTAGTTTGGGTGCTTTGCAGAAAATGGATTATAGGGAGTCTAAGCAAAAACTGGGAAAGAAGTTGGGAGGTATAATGTGCTGAATGGTGTGTCCACTCAAACGTATTTCCACCGGGAACCTGAAAACATGACCTTGTTTCAAAAAGGGTGTTTGCAGATGTAAATAAATTAAAGGTTTCAATATGAAATCATCCTGGACCTTAAATCCAATGACAATCCTTATAATAGACAGAAGAGAAGACACACACAAAGAGGAGAAGGCCATGTGAGCACAACACCAGAGACTTGAGTGATGCAGCCACAAGCCAAAGAATGCTTAGAGCCACCAGAAGCTGGAAGAGGCAAGGAAAGACTGTCTCCTAGAGGCTTTGAAAAGAACAATGGCTTGCCAACACATTGACTTCAGAGAATAAATTTCTGTGGTTCCAAGCCACCCCAGTTTGAGGCCATTTTTCACAGCAGTTGGAAAACAAATGCATGGCTCCTGAGAGATATGAGCAGTGCAGAGTGGCTGCTGTCAGACTTACATGGAATCATGTGTGCCCCCACTTGGAGATAACTTCTTTGCATTCAGCAGGGAAGGAACCAATTTCTTTGCTGTCTGATGGATCATATAGAGGAAGCATTGTGTTCGCTTGACCTGACTCAGTTTAACAGCTACAAGATTTTCTATCACCTCATCCAGGTTGGATTGTGAACCTAGATGAAGAAAAGAGGAATAATATGAGGTATCACTCTTCCTTTCTCTGTTGTCTAGGGGCTGGAAAGTTTGTGGTTCAGAGTCCTCAAAACCCATGTTCAATCATGACATGGCCTCTATAGGATTGAGGCTAAATCACTCCCACATTTTTTAAATTAAAAATTGGGACTACACAGTACAGTCATGACTATCAAAGTTGATGAGGTATAATTGTGATAACCAAAATGTATCAAACAAGCCTATGCACTGCATGCCATCGGTTGTTGCTGCAATGGTTTTGAGAAGGTTGTATTTTCCTCACTACCCTGATTTTTCCTCCTGATATGACTCTGAGCTTAACCATTGCTTTAGCCAGTGCAATGATAGTAAATGTAATTTAACAAGAAGCTTGAAAAGGGATGGTGCACTGAGTCTTGCCCTCTCTTTATTTTTTATTTTCTTTTTCTTGCCTTCTCTTTCTGCTTTTGAAAACTCTGTGACTTCTATATGTTGCCCAATCCATTTCCGCCAGCACAAGCAAAGCCAGCGATAGCCAGGCCTGGGGCGGTGTCTAACTAGTTCTACCAGCTCATAGACAAACCCCTGTGGATAGCAGCCGCATGGATGAATCTAGAGGGAGCTAGCCAAAGAATCACCCAGATGAGTCCCATCTAAATTGCTGCCTCATGCCTGACTGGCATGACTCAGTGGTTGAACCTATAACCAGGAGGTCACAGTTCTATTCCTGGTCTGGGTATATGCTCAGGTTGCAGGCTCTATCCCTAGTGGAGGTGTGCAAGAGTCAGACAATCAATGATTCTCATTCAACACATTCTCTCTCATCATTGATATTTCTGTCTCTCTCTGCCTCTCCTTTCCTCTCTGAAATAAATAAAAATATATTTTAAAATATAAATTGCTACCACACCAAATTGTGAGCTAATAAATTATTGCTGTTTTAAGTCACTGTTTCGGGATGGTTTGAAAACCAAATGATAAAACCAGACATAGAGGGTGCCAAGCACTTCTCATTCAATATCTGATTTAATCATTCAAAGGCTCTATATTTTAAATACTATCATAATCCTCACTTTTACCCAGGAGGAAACTGATCCACAGACAGGTTGTTACTTGCTCTAGATTACATCCTCCTATATAATAGAGGTAATATGCAAATTAACCCTCACACGCTCACAAGATGGCTGCCTACAACCAGGCCTGCAGGGGGGTTAGTGAGGGATGACCAAATGACTGAATAGCAGTCTGTGTGGGGCGACCAGGCCAGTGGGGGGAGGGGCATGAGGGGCGACCCAACTAGATGGGGAGCAGTAAGAGGTGACCAGGCTGGTGGGGGGATGCAGTTGGGGGTGACCAGGGCAGCAGGGGGCAGTTGGGGGTGATTAAGTCTGGCAGGGGGGCAGTGAGGAGCAACTAGGCCAGCAGGGGGGGCAGTTGGGGGCAACCAGGCCAGTGGTGGGGAGCAGTTAGAAGCAACCAGGCCAGCAGGGAGGAGGCAATTGGGGGCAACCTGGCTGGCAGCAGGGGGCAGTTAGGGGCAATCAGGCTGGCATGCAGAGGCAGTGAGGGGTGATCAGGCTGGCACACAGAGGCAGTGAGGGGCGATCAGGCTGGTGGGGGGGGGGGCAGTTAGGGGCAACCAGGCAGGCAGGCAGGGGAACCAGCAGTCTAGGATTGTGAAAAGGATGTCCGACTGCCGGCATAGGCACAATCTCCAGGATTGGGCCTAAACCAGCAGTTGGACATCCCCCAAGGGGTCCCGGATTGGAGAAAGTGCAGGTTGGGCTGAGGGGACCCTCCCCCATGCACAAATTTTGTGCACCGGGCCTCTAGTAACTAATAACTAATGAGGCTTGAAGTAAAGATATATGGAATGTAGGGGTGTTATTCAAAATGAAAAGTGTATAGACATGGAAAATCCCAGCAACTGGAACATATTCCAATCCCCTTACTTTGAATCTGCAAATGTTGTTTCCAGTTTATGACTTCTGGTGAGCCAAGGAATTCATGACAGTTCTTGGGGTCCTTGGAGTAGATTTGGTAAGTATTGGTGTAGTGATCAAGGTCATCTACCATCTCCTGTTTGGGTTGGGAAAAGTAGAATCAACAAAAATAATTGTAGTTTGTGATTGCCATACATGGTTGTCAGTGTTCCGTTATACTATGGTATTTTTAAGTACTAAAATATTAGGTTTTCCTGTTGGTGTATTACCTTTATTGAAGAATGATTTATATTATTAGGTCAACTCAAGCACTTCCTTATTCAACTAACAATAAAAATATCCTGAATAAACTATTCCTAAACCAACTATTACTATAAAGTTTCAAACAGAAATAATCCATTTAGAATTTAACATTTCTTTCAAAAAGCACAGGAGAGTCAGACTTCTAGTAAAATGTCTTTTGTACAAGTTTATTCTCTGGTAGTAAATGTGTTAACTCCAATGGCTTCAGTAGAAAACAATAGCAAAACCCCTCCCAAAGCAAAGATACTTTGCGTTCCCTTCTTGTGATTTTTAAAACCAATCAGAATAGGGAAATAATCATATTGTATCATGCTATGCAAATTCTTAGGAACAGGCAGATGCAATGGTCAGATATTTCTAAACATCAATAATGATTTTCTTTCTTTTTTTTTTTTGCTTTTTTTTCAGAAAAGGCCAATTACTTCTTTAATAGATCAGTTTTTGACATAATAACACATCAATTTTTAAATACTATCACATAAAGCATGGTGGAGAAAAGAAATTTTGCTTTATAATTAGAAACTCACACTAAAACTTGCCAAGAACAAAAACAAACCAAAGAAAAAAGCCATTTTGAAAATAAATACAGTCCATGCCAAAGTAGTATAAAATGAAGCCAGAAGTCTTCAAAAAGAAAACACTTTTCTTGCCAATATTTTCTTATTTATTAATGTTTTCTAAAATTTGAGATGTAAATAAATTACATCTAAATTCAAGGGTTGCTGAGCTGTTCTGATTTGGCTCCTTTGGTATCTGTTTTTTCACCACTATTATCCTTGGATTTATATTCTTCCTTAACATCAGCTTTTTTGTCTTCTGTTTCCTTCTTGTCTTCCTCAATTCTAGCTTTCTTTGCTCCTTTCTTATGATCAGCCACATTTCTACGACCTCCTTCTCCTTCATCCTCTGAATCTGAGAATTCTTCATCACAAGCTATCCGTTTGTCTGATGCTCGAATAGAAATTCTCTTGTCTGAGTCTTCTCCATCTTCATCTCCACTGTCTTCATGAACAGCATCTTCTGGAATAGCTTGCATTTGGACACCAGGTGCATGAGGCAACATGCGTAAATTTTCAAATAAACGCTGTTTTATCTTTTCCATATATTCTGGAGTGTTCTGGTTTGTCATATTTGAAGGACTAATATGCAGTTTGAAGTCTGGTCCAAAATACTCAAAGTAATCATTATATGGCAATTCATTAGGAATCTCACAATCAAGGGCAACTGCAGTCTCATATGTCCAACAGCGAGCAACGTTACGAATTGTGTATCCACCTCCCCCAAGCATCAGTAACGGTAAATTGAAAGTTTTTACAACTTCTACACATTTAGCATGACCTTTGACTGTCAGATTGAAGCAACCAAGTCTATCACCAGATAGCGAGTCTGCACCACACTGTAGCACCACAGCGCTAGGTTGATACATCTCCATCACTTTTGAGATGATAGGCTTAAATATTTGCCCATAAGATTCATCATCTATACCATCTCTCATTGGAAAATTGACAGCATAGTATTTGCCTTTTCCTGCACCAATATCCCTCAAGTCTCCTGTTCCAGGAAAGTATTCCCCGTATTTATGGAATGATACAGTCATTACATGATCTGTTGTATAAAAAGCTTCTTCAACACCAGCACCGTGATGGATATCAATATCAATATATAAGACTCTCTGGTGATACTTTAGTAATTCAAGGATGGCAAGCACAATATCATTAACATAACAAAACTCTGATGCTTCTGATTTCTTAGCATGATGTAATCCTCCAGCCCAATTAACAGCCAGATCAGTTTGTTGTTGGTTTAACTTCACAGCTCCAGCAACTGAGCCACCAGTTGAGAGCTGACAAAACTCAAAGAGTCCATCAAACACTGGACAATCTTCTCCAACATTAAATCTCTGCATCTGCTTACTATACTCAGACATGTTATCTGGTCTTATTGAATGTAGAAATTTGATGTACTCATCACTGTGGTATTTTGTCATTTCTTCAGCAGTGGCTTTATGGGGCCTATATATTTCCATTTTTCTATATAAACCATAATTTAGCAGCAAGTTATGGGTCATGCAGATTCTATGAGGTTTCATAGGATGGCCTTGTCCATAGTAATAGTTTCCAATATCACCATCGTAGTAGTAGCAGACTTTCTTTTTGCCGCCTTCCTGACTGTACGCCATGGGCTCCCTGGCCACCGCCGCCTCTGGGCTCCTCCTGCTGCTGCCACCGCCGCCCTGGCTCCGCGGGGAGAGAAAAGGGCTGTGGCTTAAGTGGGGGCGGCCATCTCGAAGGGGGGAGGATGGCCCGAGGGAGGAGAGGGTGCTGGAAGGGCTCCATACCGCCGGGCGGATGGGCCGAGAGCACGGAGCGGGGGAGGCCGGGCGCCAACTCCAGAAATGTATTTTTTAAACTTACAGAATGGTATTGTTGGGATCTAGCACCAGCAGGTCCAGGGGTTCCCAAAGGTGTGGATGGAGTCGGCGAAGAAGGAATGACACGGAGTCAGCGTTCAGTTGATCAGCATAGCGAGGTTCTCTAGCCAGGTTCGGTTCTTATTGTCCTGTTACATCCGTATTTATACCAGTTGATTTTAATCCTATCCATTCTATTCCAAAGGTTAGGGTGTTTGTTAATCTAGTTCTGTTGAGTTTAATCCTAACAATTCTATTCCAAAGGTTAGGGCGTTTGTTAATCTAGTTCTGTTGAATTTAATCCTGTCTAGGTTAATCTCTGTGTTCCATTATAAGGGCTATTCCAAGGTCACTGCTCTACTGATAAGCTACAAGGAAGTAACTGAAGGAGATTATCCTACCCAGTAAAGGTTATGTCCTCCCAGCCTCAATGCTTGCCTTCCCTGGGACTGCCCTGTGTTGGTGGGTCTCCAGGGGTATAGGCTTTGGTGCTTTCCCTGGTGGGCAGACCCCTGGGGATGTGGGCCCAACAAGTCCCAAATTTATTGCCAACAGTCTTAGTCCAAGTTCTTCATAAGTAGTACATGGTATTTCTGTAACACTAGGGGGTTTCACTGATTTATTCTCTTCCTTAGTCCTGTTAATCCCTAACTCCAGAGAAAAAAATCCTCACCTGGGGAAACAACCTTTCTTGGGGAGGTGGTCTTGTTTAAAACACATAGCGCTAAGAGGGGGAGCAAGCATATTAAGAACAGTATGCCATATGCGCCAGGTCCCTTGAAACATATACATATGCTGTGCAGATGTTTCTTCCCTGCAGTGACTGTGTCAAGCAGCAAGGATGGACCGGCTTCCGGCAGGTATGTAAAAACTACATTCCAAATTCCAAGTACTAAGCAAATATTACCTATTAATTACTCCATGGAGTTCTTTTCATCTTGTCTTACCTCCCCAATGAGACCTTCAAAGTATGCACTATCTATCTATCTATCTATCTATCTATCTATCTATCTATCTAAGCCTAAGCAACCGAATGACCGAACAACCGAACAACCGGTTGACTGGTCGCTATGATGTGCACTGACCACCAGGGGGCAGGCGCTCAATGCAGGAGCTGCCCCCTGGTGGTCAGTGCACTGCTTAGCTAACCGATGGGCGTCAGATGCAGGGCTCACGGCTGGTGAGCGTTGCTGCGGTGGTGTGAGCCTCTGGATCGGGACTGACTGGGCATCAGCACACAGCAGGTGCAGCAGGGCTGGGATGAGTGGGAGCAGGAGTGGCAGGCAGGAGTGGCAGGCAGTATTGGACTGCCAGTTTTGCCCAATCCCCCCAGGCCACACCGAGGAACCCCACTGGTGTGTGAAACCATGCACCAGGCCTCTAGTATTTTATACATTTTTATGTAGCTAACACATTATTCAGCTCAAAACACTGGTTTCCTCAGCAATAACTATTAGAAAATATGGTGAGAAGATAATCTCATCAATAATGATTTTCTAAATAAAGATGCAATATTGCCCCCTCTCCACCTCAAATAAAATAATTTTTCTAACCTTTATAAAACTCAACTAGAGAGTAAAATTGCAAGCAAAATCTTTGGCCAGAGGAATAAATCTTGCTCTAGTCCAAAGATTTTTAGAACATGTGGGCTGTGAACATGTCTTTATCAAAATTGATGGAGGTAACAGACATTAGAATACCCACCTATAAATGATGAAACTAATGAAAAGTTATAAGATGAGTAAGTTCTGAAGATCTGATGTACCAGCATGATAATTATAATTAGTAAACATTGTATTATATATACTTGAAAGCTGCTAAGAGAGAAAATCTTAAATATTTTCACCACAAAAAAGAAACAGTAATTATGTGACAGGATAGAGGTGTCAGCTAAAGCTATGGTGGTGATAATTTTGCAATATATGTGTGTATCAAATCTACACATTGTACATCTTAAACATACACAAGTTTAGATGTTAATTATCTCTCATAAAGATGGAAAACCTTATTTTAAATATTTTTTTCATCAATTCTCCCCTGAGGATTTTTCCCCATTGATTTTTAAAAATCTTTATTGTTGAAAGTCCTCCATTGATTTTTAGTGTGAGTGGACAGGAGGAGGAGAGACAGAGAGAAAAACATCAATGTGTGAGAGACACATCAAGTGGTTGCCTCCCACACGGTCTCCAGCTTGGGCCAGGGACTGAGCCTGAAACAGATGTATGTGTCCTTGATTGGAATCCAACTCACGACCCTTCAGTCTCTGGGTCCAGACTGTAATCATTGAGCCAAATCAGCTAGGGCAAAATTGTATTTTTTTTCTTTTTTTCTTTTATTGTTTTATTGCTTAAAGTATCACAAAGAATATTACATATATCTCCTTTTTCCCCCGCCCTTGACAATCCCCTGGCCTCCCCTACCCCCCAATGTCTTATGTCCATTGGTTATGCTTATATGAATGCATACAAGTCCTTCAGTTGATCTCTTACCCTCCCCTCCTGCCCCCCAACCCTCCCTGGCCTTCCCGCTGTAGTTTGACAGTCTGTTCGAGGCTGCTCTGCCTCTGTATCTATTTTTGCTCATCAGTTTATAATGGTCTTTATTATCCATAAATGAGTGAGATCATGTGGTATTTTTCCTTCATTGACTGGCTTATTTCACTTAGCATAATGCTCTCCAGTTCCATCCATGCTGTTGCAAATGGTAAGAATTCCTTCTTTTTTACAGCAGCATAGTATTCCATCATGTAGATGTACCACAGTTTTCTAATCCATTCATCTACTGATGGGCACTTAGGCTGTTTCCAGATCTTAGAAGATTGTATTTTTGACAGTTGCTCAAATAATATTTCTTATTCAGGTTTCTATCAATAATTCAAAGTCTTTATTTTTCAAATTATTTAATTTGGTGAAATTTACAAGTAATAATGTTTAATATTAATAAATTTAGATTATTGCTCAATTTATTAAAATGTAATTATATATTTCTTAGTTTTGAAATATTTTAACTATTTAATTTCATTAATTTAAAAAAATTATCACAATATATAACAACTCCAACCATGTCTTTTGCTTTTAAATTTCCCTAATCCATGATGTTATTTTAGACCTTATGCCGCTCAATTGGTATTTTGTTTGCTTTGGATGAAGTCCTGCCTTGACCCTCTATAAAAAAATCTTATTTATCTTTAACATGCAGTTTTGGTAAATTTTCCTCCTTTCCCTGCAACCTCTACTATATATAGTTTTTTTAAAATGCCCTATTTTATTGACTTTACTGGTGGCAGTTGGTTACAATACCATGCAGCCTCTCAATGGGAGGACAGTGTCACAAGAAGTTGTGAGTTAGCACTAGTGAGTTAACTAGTGGTATGGTTTCAAGGTTGGTATTTTTAAAAGATAGGAAATAATTTTTCCCCATAGGCTGAGTTAAAAGTGTTTGATTCAAAACAATAAAGATGTCGAGTCTGAGAAATGTTGCTTTAATATCTTGAACAAAAGATCAGCCTTTTGTCTATGTCCTCAACATAATCTTACATTAGCAAAACCATCCATTGGGTGTCTCTCTTCCCATAAACTAAATGCAAGAAATAATGAAAGGTGCTTGATCTTCAGCATTACCAGGATGCTGTTTGGGGTCCTGTCTTGAAAACAAATTAAAACAATGAATGAGTATGAAAATGTACCATATAGCCCAGCCGGTGTGGCTCAGTGGTTGAGCATTAACCTATGAACCAGGAGGTCATGGTTCCATTCCTAGTCAGGGCACATGCTCAGGTTGTGTGATCAATCCCCAGTGAAGGGCATGCAAGAGGCAGTCAATCAATGATTCTCTCTTATCTTTGATGTTTCTATATCTCTCCCTCCCTCTTACTCTCTGAAATCAATAAAAATATATTAAAATATATAGTTTTAATCAGCTTTCCACATATGTTACTTCTTTTTTAAGTTTATTTTTCAATTACAGTTGATATTCAATATTATTTTATATTAGTTTCAGGTGTACAGTACAGTGGTTAGACAATCATTTGATTCAATTCTCCTGTTGCTGCACATTTCAGACCATGCTGTAATTTATCTGTGGACTCACCTGTATTCTCTTCCAGGCTGTGGAATTTTTGAGGACAGGGACTATTTACTATTCCTGGGATTCATTTCTATACGCCCAGGTCTCGCACATTGCCAGGTCCAGATAAACACGTAGCAAATACATACATAGATGCACATTCATTCCATATCTGACACCTTACCTGCTCCTGAGGACGGACAACCACTGTATTAAAATCAGGCCACTTGTCCACCAGAGCCTTTAGCTTGAACGGGTTTCCCTGGTTCATGTGGAAGATGGTCCCATAAACCTGCAGCATCACAAGAAAGTGGGAGGGTCAATGTACAGGGGTTGGTAAAAGTAGGTTTACGGTTGTTCATCTGGAAAAAGTCATGCAGGTTATGATTATTACAATAGCTTTGTTAACTCTGTTTCACGTACTCACAACTATAAACCTACTTTTCCCACCCCTGTATTAGGAAAGAATGTTAAAGTAACTTGTTTGATCAGGACAGGTTTATTTCTATGAAATAATGAAATTTTATCATTGAAAGGTCTCTAATGAGTATTTCTGCCAAGCAACTTTAAGTTTTAGTGTTTTGTCTCAATAAATGTATCTTTTAGAAATATAATCACATTGTAAAATATTCGGACTAATAAAATTTATGAATAAAAATCATGAACTCTCCCATTGTAGAATTTAATACACATTTAATGTAATGTATGCCAATTATATCCCAATTTTTAAAAAAAGAGAAAAAAACTTTTAATAGATTTCCTACTATTCATGCACATGCACAACAAATTTTGCAAAATTAAAAAAATCACATAGATGTGATATTGAAATGTTTTCTCTATTGGATAAATACATTCTAGTCATATTTCTTCTCCAATAAATAAAAATAATTTTAATGACTAAAGAGCATTCTATGACATGGATGAACAAACCTTATTTTTTTTTAAACTTTTAATTTATTCACATGAAGTAGCAAAGAAAGTACAAAGAGGTTCCATAATATATCTCCCTTGCAAAGAGGTGATGTGAACTAAATGAGCTGTAGCATGAGTGAATTCCTGCCCAGCTGGCATGGCTCGATGTTGACCTATGAACCAGGAGGTCATGGTTTGATTCCAGGTCAGGGCACATGCCCTGGTTGCCAGCTCAGTCCCCAGTAATGGGCATGCAGGAGGCAGCTGATAATGACTCTCATCATTGATATTTCTATCTCTCTCTCCCTCTCCTGTCCTCTCTGAAATAAAAAATATATATATTTTAAAAATAGATGCCTAATAACAGCTCATTCTCTTTCCTACTCTGTCACAGGAAGATGCCACCCTTTGTTTCCCTGAGATTGTTCCAGTCTCACCTTTAAGGACTCAGGGAGGCTCTTCCTCAAGGATTTTTCTAGCATCTGCAGCATCTGTGGACCCTGCAAGTGGAGCATCCTGGCAGGTATTTTAGCCTAGAGGGAGGATCAACAAACAGCCAGGATGTAAAAATGCTGAATCCATAGTAACTAGATCCACACACCTCTACCTGAATCTTAGAAGGTAACAGATAAGTCTGCCCTCTTCTAAAGTAACTGCCTTAGGGGAAGAAAAAGTAGAGTCACTCTAGATTTCAAGCCTTACTCAGACGGAGACACAGCATAAATGTTCCGAAGGAACTACCAGGGAGAAACGAGTAGCAGGTTCTATGCTAATGCCCACGACCTTCTTCAGTGCCCCCTATTGGTGTTACCCACACTGAAGTCCTCAGTAACACCAAGGAAGGAGATTGGCAGGAAGCACCTGGTTCTCCTTCGAAAGTTTTGCCTTCACTTCTGATACTACCCTACATTTTCATTTAATACACATTTATTTTAACAAACATGTTACGTAAATATGCTAGTGCGTCTTTGGGGATCTGGTTGTAGTCAATGATTAGCCCAATGCCACCACTAGCAAACTCTGTAATCTCCAAAAAGTTACTTACCCTCTTGGTTCCATAATTTACTCATTAATCCTAATGAAAACAGACTCTACCTAGAAAATTATTGCCTCTTTCCCATCTGCAAGATGGTGGATGAAGAAGCTGAGAGGCAAGATACTAAGGAGAAGAAACCCAGAGCCAAGAAGGCTGATACTGGTGACAAGGTTAAGAAGGGTAACCCCTGCTCTAGCTGATTTGGCTCAGTGGATAGGGCATCAGCCTGTGAACTCAAGGATTCCGGGTTTGATTCCAGTCAAGAGCACATGCCCTGGTTGTGGACTCGATTCCCAGTAGGGGGTGTGTAGGAGGCAGTCAATCAATGACTCTCATTAATGTTTCTATCTCTCTCTCTCTCCCTCTCCCTTCCTCTCTGAAATTAATAAAAATATATTTTTTAAAAAAGAAAGGTAACCCCAAGGTCAAGATGAGTAAGAAGAGGAAGCCCCACTACAACCGAAACCCTATCCTGGTCAGAGGAATTGGCAAATATTCCTGGTCGGCTATATATTCCAGAAAGGCCATGTACAAGTGGAAGTATTCAGTAGCTAAATCCTTGATTGAAATGAAAAAGTTATTGCTACTGTCACAAAACCAGTTGGTAGTGACAAAAAAGGTGATACCCAAGTGCTTACACTTTGCAAAATGCCTAGATACTACCCCACTGAAGATGTGCCTCCAAAGCTGTTGAGCCATGACAAGAAGCCCTTCAGTCAGCATGTGAGAAAACTGTGGGCCAACATCACCCCCGGGACCATTCTGATCATCCTCCCTGGGCACCACGGAGGCAAGAGAATGATTTTCCTGAAGCAGCTGAGCAGGGGCCTTAATGTCTGCAACTCTGTGCCTTAATCATTAAGTTCCTCTGCATAGAACACACCAGAAATTCATCACTGCCACCTCTACCAAGACGGGAACCAGTGGTGTGAAAATCCCAAACATGTCACTGGTACTTATTTAGGAAGAAGGAGCAGCGCCTGCCCAGTCACCAGGAGGGTGAGCTCCTCAACACAGCGAAACAGAAATATGAGAGGACAGAGAAGTGGGAGGTTGATCAGAAAGCCGTGGGTTTGCAACTTCTGCCAAAAATCAAAGATGTTCCTCAGCTCCAGGCTACCTCCCCTCTGTGTTTGCTCTCCCCAACTGCCTTTACCCTCACAAACTGGTGTCTGAAATTTCTTACAAAAACCAAACTGAACACCTAGTTGGTTTAGAAATAAAAAGAAAATCATAGCGATGGTTAAATGAGTTAATATATATTAAGTGCATAGTACAGTTTCTAGCATATAATAACTCAAAATAATTATTTTATTACTGTTATTATTAATATCATTAATGGCAGCTGACCACACAGTATTTCAGCTCAGCCCATTGGATTTTTTTAAAAGAAATGGGTGTAACTTTAACCTAGCTCACAGTGTGAGGGCTTTCAGTGTGAATAGTGTCCTGAGAATAACACCAACACTTACGTGAGAGACAGTTTGTGGGGATTAAATGAGTAATCCAGGCACTGGCACCAAGTGAGTAAAAAAGCCCAAAGGGAATTTCTTAATAAGTGCCTGGCACAGAATAGAATTTATGTGTCATGATTATCGTCATTCCCTGAAGGAAGCAGAGAAAAGATTGTTTGATGTACTCAGCCCGTTAGTGCTGAGGCACTGGTTTCCCAGAACTCTGGCCAGGATGTTCTTTTCTTTCTTTCTTTCTTTCTTTCTTTCTTTCTTTCTTTCTTTCTTTCTTTCTTTCTTTCTTTCTTTCTTTCTTTCTTCCTCCCTCCCGACCATCATCATTCTAACTTTCAGTCGTTCTTCATTTCTTTTCTTTCTTTCCTTCTTCCTTTCTTTCCTTTTCAAAGTAAAAAACAGTTTAGGGAGGGTGTGCATGGAACATTAATGCAAAAGTCGGGTATAAGCGAAAGCGCCGTACCGGCAGGACGGCGATCATGCAGGGTTAAGATAACAAAAAACATTTTAGGGGAGGAAAACAAGCGCTGGCAAATAGGGGCAAAGAGTTATTAAAGAAACCTTCAATTGGTATATGGTTCACATCGAGAGAAGGGAAGATAGCAAGGCCAGATTCAATGAGGATTAGCCGCTAGAACGCGCATCAGCGTACAAAATACCGATGAGCATCCGTAA